GTCTTTCACTGTTCTACTATCTCAGTTCAATGAATGCAGTTGTCAATGGGATTCCTGCTTCTGCCACTATTTTGCTGACAGTTCAGACCAAGAAGTAGGTGGTTACATAGAAAATGCATCTCACTATTTGAAAAGGACAGATATTAAGCCGTGAAGTGACTTAAGTGGAAACTTTAATAGCAGCCTATATTAACTCTGAAAAATCTTCTTGCCCGTGCATTGAGGCCAATGCATTTTCTGTGTCTGAACATAAAACTGGTCGTGATGACAATTTTTGTATTTCTGACTTTTGTTTTAAGTGATTTATTTTCCATAATTAGATTTTGGGGTCTCAAATTCTCTTATACTGCAGTTTTCTCAAACTTTTCTACAAAACAGCACCCTTTGGAAATGTCTCTTCTCACAGTGACACAAGTGATGCAAGTTGAAAAACAGGCTACCAGGAAAAACCAAAACCAAAACAGATCAAGGACATTTATATATAAATGAAGAGAAATAATATTTTCTACCGTTTGTAGAAAATGTGATTTTCCCCTATAACTGCATTAAATTCTTTGTTAGTTTGTATTAATTCACACAGAAAAATCACTCAAAAATAATCACACAAGAATGCTTAGCCAGTTGATATTTTAGTGTTTCATTCCAATGCTCAGTCATGCACCGCTGCTGCAAATAGATTACATATATTTTTCTTTTTAAAAAACAAACATAAATGCAAGTAACTTCATGTAGCTCTGATATCAATTTCTAGCCCAATGTTAACAGATTTTAAAATAATGCAAAATCCCTACGTTTGTGCCTTGGGATGTTCTTCAATCGTACAGAGCCCTATAAGCTCTTAGTTGGCACTTCTGGTGCGAGGCCCCTAGAGCATAGTGCAAGAAGCAGACGAAAGGATTCCAGGATTCCAGCTTCTGACACTAGCTCGCTGGGTGATCTTGGACCAGTCACTTAGCCCCGTGCCTCAGTTTACAAAGTAGGAAATCTTACCTACCATGGAGGGATCAGAAGATGTGAAATGCTTTGAAATTCTTGGGCAAAAAGCACTACATTAATGCAGAGGAATTTTTACCCTCACCTCTAATTTCAACCTTTGGGTATAATCAAGTCATTAGAACACAAACAAGATATGGATGCACAGGTTTCAACCTCAAGTCCTACATGCCACTTCATGGCAAGCTCAAGCAATTTACTCACAGCTATCTGAGTGTCTAGATCTTTAATTACATCAGCAACTGCTGTGGGCCCAGTGAATGGAGAGGCCATTTTCCAAAAGCTTCCTGTAAGTAAATAGCCAGTGTTAACCTAGTCTCCCCTCCTCCTGTGCTACATATTTCTCATTCCCACAAAGATACCAGCTGTTTTGCATGTCACCGACCATATCATAGGAAGATCAAAAGGAAACAAGCTTCAGCAGACAATACACACCACAACACAGGTATGCCTTGTCCTTATTAAAATGATTAGCTGTAATTTTTCTGGGCGTTTAATATGAAGCCTTACTTTAAACAGTAATTGTGAACCTAGCATACCTTGTCTTCTGAAGTGGCAAGGTATTTCCCAGGATCCTCAAGGGTGAAGGGAAGTCTATGTTAAACTTTTAACCTAAAAACAAAGATTAAGTACAGGGCTAGTTGGTATTGGAGTAGAGGACACTAGAGTACAGATTTTTGCAACAATAACTTTCTTCCACAGCAGGACTATGCCCCATGGCTTGTCCTGATGCCACTGGCACCTGAGTAATCTGTACTGCAACTGAATAAGTATCACGATTACAGCATTAGACTAGAAGATGCAAAGTTACTTATAGTCTACAGCAGGGGTAGGCAACCTCTGGCACGCGTGCCGAAGGCGGCACGCGAGCTGATTTTCAGTAGCACTCACACTGCCCGGGTCCTGGCCACCGGTCCTGCATTTTAATTTAATTTTAAATGAAGCTTCCTAAACATTGTAAAGTAAGTAAGGTTTTTAAATACAACAATCGTTTAGTTATATATTATAGACTTGTAGAAAGAGACCTTCTAAAAATGTTAAAATGTATGACTGGCACGCGAAACCTTACATTAGAGTGAATAAATGAAGCCTCGGCACACCCCTTCTGAAAGGCTGCCGACCCTTGGTCTACAGCAACAAGATAACTTGTCGAACCATTCACCAAAGTGCTTGCAGCTCCCATTTCCAGGAAGAAAAGACATTGAGCAAAGAAATCTGTACAGAGAAATTAAAGGTAATCTGCAAAGGAATTTTTAGGAAATTTGGATGTACTTTTTTGTGTGGCTTCTTTATGATGGATAAAAGCTTAAAGAGTTTTCTGAACAGCTTGCTTTTTAATTTAGAAATATCAGAAGTGTCAAGTCTGGTCATCCCTTGTTTTGCTAGAGGACCTCTTTGGAAGTGGTGAGTATCTCAGGAGAGGTATATTGCAAGTATTTATATATTCATTGTAAGGGCAGGATTGGCTGAATCTTTAAGAGATCTCCTTTCTACCAAGTGTTCATTAGGCACTGGAGTGATTTATGTATTAAAAAGTTTTTAACTGCGGCTAAAAACCTTCCTCCCTCTCAGCTGTTCTGCTTTCAGCCTTGCAAAGTCATAATTTCATTATTTCTCAAGTTATCACAGAATCTTCCCGGATAATAAAAACCAGAATTTCTAGTGTTAAAAATTAAGCAGACAAGACCCATTCCAGCCTCCCATGCTCATCAGAACCAAAGAAAAGTTGAAAATTCAGTTGTTTTCCCCTTTGTAGGTCACCTTTAAGGGTTTGATTCAAACCTTAATGTGTGGAGAAAAATATGTCAGTACACTTTGTATAAGGAGCCACCGAACACTGGCACTATGGCTGATTATATAGATGGTCATGGATCTTATATTAATTAATCAGTATCATAATCAATCAGGTTCAAAGACCTAAATATGAACACAGAGGCCACCCATCTTTACTTAAAAAAAAAAATCAGTTCCACCACTTCTGAAATGAAGAGCTCATTTTGAACCAGTTTAATAAATTGGACGTCAGGAGACCACATTATACAATGCATCCACAGCCCTACTCAGGTTTGTATGAACAAGCTAAAATACATAATTGTAGAAATAGATTCTGTACCCTAACACGGTTCCATAAGGTTCTTCCTTGTGCTTGAGTCAGGAATAACAATCGTCTCTCTCAACTCTAGGAAAATTTATACTGTTTTCTTGCGTATCACAGCAGACATTAACTCATTTTAAAAACTTCTACAGTGGGGTTCCCTGTGGCTATGCTCCATTAACAAAGGTTGAAAAATTAATCTCATGTCCTCACAGACTTCTAAAACTTCAGTCTCTGAATGCTCAACTATGGTATAATTAAGTTTTCACAGACAGTTAGGGAACTCTCAGTAAATTCTGCAAGCTTCCTGCATTGAACATGGACTCCTAGGTGCAATAATGCACTAATTATGACTGGATAGTGTGCAATATATATTCTCAACAACTAACAAGTTCTGTTTTCCAAGATAACATCTGTGGATTTGGCAAAATATAAATGCTGCATTTAACTAAGGGAAAATGTGTAGAGCCCTGTGCAAATACAAAATTTGTATCTGAATCCGATCCACGAACATGGTCCGCAGATATAAAGTAGATATCCACAGATTTGCGGGGTTCTAAAAATGTGTTTTTACTTTACATTTGCAGGTCCAAAGTCTTCTAAATAAAACACTTCGGAATTTAACACGGTCTAAGTATTTGCTTATTCAACATGTGTCACTTGGGACAGAGTAGACCATTTTTTCCCCTTTAGAGATTTTTTTTAAAGCATACTTCCCTTTCACTTCAAGTTTTTCTCTTAGCTGCCAAAAATTTAATATGGCATCTCCAATGATAAGCAAGGAAAAGGAACATGCATACATTTTCTAATTCCAGTTTCTCCTAAAATATAGTTGTACCCACTGTCTGAAGTAGTTTTTCATTGCTCAAACCACTGAATACTCCATGGGAGCTTACAGATGTTCCAGTCATACAGTAAGAGTTCAGAGCTTTCTCTTTCACTTTATAAACTTCAGCACACCACGACTGAAGTGATTTTTCACTGAAGCTGTAGGAAGTCATTGGGCAATTACATGGATCTGCCATCTATTTTCAAATCTCATGTGAAACCAACTTTTTATCCTTAGAGCTTGGAGGTTTTCCTTCTATTTTTCCCCTCTAAGGCATTTAAGAGCTAGAGTTTGGATTGAAGACGCGATACAAAACACAGTTAGACTGCACTTCGCATTTGAATTTAGGACCCCAGGATAGGGTGACCAGATGTCCCGATTTTATAGGGACAGTCCCGATTTTTCACACCTGCTGTCTGGTCCCTCTACCCCAGGATGAATGAAAGACATGGGATCCCTGACAATCATCCCCTTGCTCTGGGCTGCACGGTGCCCACCGAGACAGGGAAGGAGAGCGCCCTGCGGGGCTGGAATAGGCTCCTCCAGCAAGGACTTAAAGTCGGTGTCACTCCCATGGCGGTTCGCGCCCCGTTCCTGCAGCCCAGGCTCTGCAAGGGGTTAAACCCCCTCCCGCAGCCCCCCCGGCTGGAGGTGCCGATCTGGTGAGGACAGGAGAGCGAGTCGCCGGGGGCTCAGCCCGCCGGGGAGCCCCTGACCCCCGCGGGGGGCGGCTGCTCCCCCCGTCTCTCCCCCAGAGGAGGGGGAGCCCAGCCCCGGGCGGGGCCCGCACTCACCGGCGCCCCCGCCTATCGCCCCATGGTCCGCGGCCGGATCCCCCCGGCTGAGCTGCTGCCGCCGCCGGCTCTGCGCTGCTCGCCCTGACCCCCCTGCAGCAGCGTCCTTCCGCCGCCGCCCGGAAACACTCACCCCGCGCCCAACCAGAGCCGCCCTGGCACAGCTGGCACGGGAACGACACTGGGCATGCGCACCACCAGCAAGCGTCCCCAATGGCGCATGCGTTCACGCCCCACCCCGACAAGGCGTCGCCGATAGTTTCCCGTCATCGACTGCGCATGCCCCAGGGCCCCCCTCTCGACCTCTGCGCAAACTCCCCGTCCTGAGGTGTTCCCATGGCAACGCCTCCGGTTCCCCATCTGGCCTTGCGTAGCCCCCCTCCACCTAGGCCCCTTGGCGCCCCCACCGTGAATCCCGCTCCCCTCGGCCCCGCTGCCGTCCCGCGGGCGGGTAACTGCCCCCCGGGGGCGAAGGGGAGTGTGGGGGGGTCAGATAGAGTCCCGCCCCCGGTCCCGCGAGAACGGCTGGTTCGTTGGGTGTTTAATGAGCGGTTGGACACAGCCAATGAGATGGCTCAAGATGCGGCGGCCGCTTAGATTCTAGGCGCGCTAGAGCCATGTACAGCACCGAGCACCGGGGGGGGGGGCAGGTCTGTGACTGCCCCGCCTGGGTGCTACCCTCTTACACATGCCTATGGCGCGGAGAATAATAGCGACTCATTACGAAATGTTAAGCACAAAAAAAGACGAATCATGGGGGCGGGGGGCAAAGAGGTATTGGGCAGAGCTGGGCCCGAATTCGGTTTACATTGGGATTGGGGGGGGGGGGGTTCAGAGCTTGGGGCAGCGCCTTATAGCTTGGTTGTGTTCATGTTGTGCTCCCCTTGTCCCATCCATGCAGGTAGTGACCGGGCGGACAGCGAAGAAAGGCGCTAGAGAGCTTGAGGGGCGGCAAGAAGAGAGACAGACGGCCAAGCAAGAGAGATGGTGAGAGAAAGTATCAGGGGGTAGCCATGTTAGTCTGTAGTAGGGTGACCAGACAGCAAGTGTGAAAAATCAGGACGGGGGTGGGGGGGTAATAGGAGCCTATATAAGAAAAAGACCCCAAAATTGGGACTGTCCCTATAACATCGGGACATCTGGTCACCCTAGTCTGCAGCCACCAAAACAACATGGTGTCCGGTGGCACCTTAAAGACTAACCGATTTATTTGGGCATAAGCTTTCATGGGTAAAACCCCCACTTTTTCAGATGCATGGAGGGAAAAATGCTGGGGGGAGACGCCACACGCAGGAGAAGGTCCCAGTATAATACACCCTTACAGCGAGACGAACAGGCGTACTTGTGGCACCGATACAGACTAACACGGCTGCTACTCTGAAACGTTACAGCGAGGTGAGCAGGCTTTATGGGGGGATAGCTCAGTGGTAACACATTGGCCTGCAGGTCAAGTGGTCCCTGGTTCAAACCCAGGTGCCTACTTCAAACTGCTACTTTCCCCAGCCCCGCTCTCTCCCTTGTGAGCTCCCATCTCTCTCCCAGGGGCTGCAGGAGCCTCGCCAACCGGCGGCTTGGCTCAATCTTTTCCCTTGTTTTGAAGCTGCTGCGGATTCTCCGCCTTCCCCTCACCCTGGCCCCGCCCCGCCTGCCGCTCCGCTCTGCCTGGTCTAGGGTGGAATCCCAGCATGCCATGCGCCTGATTTGCATCCCCTGCCGGCCCGCTCTGGTGCGCACATTTGAACGATTTCTGGGTACAGTACAGTAAAGTAAACGAAAAAGCCGTGACGGCACTAAATGGGGGCGGTGGTGGGATGTGACAAGTCGCTTCTCTCAAGGGGCGAACCGGCATCTCGCCCTGACCCGTAAGACTGGATCACAGACTGGGGAGGCGGGGCCGCCAGCTGCTCGTTAAAAAGGGCTTCTGCTATGTATGGCACATGGAGTGGGGCGGCTGCGGCCTTACCCTGCCTCGTGCGGAATCGACATCAAGAGATTTCGGAAGCACAATTTTTGCTCCTGGGGCTGCTGGTAATCGTTGGTTCCGGCGCCCCGAAGTGGCTTGTTAAATTCAGATTGAGTTTCGAAAGCACAGTTGGAGGGTGTGTTCTAGTTAGCTCTTTCCTTCTTAGGTGGTTCTGACCACGTTTGTTTGGGATGTTTGGGAGTTCCCTAACTGATGATGTGAAGTGTGTGCAGGGGAAGGGATTTTGTAGTATCTTAAACTGTATTTCCGTAACTTCTTGTAGTTTAAATGGGACTGTTTTCCTTGTGAAAGTTACTAGTGCCCCCCCCCCCTAACAGAGCAGCCTTTATGTCAACCAGTGGCCATTAGGGGGAAGCAGACACTTCAAGTTCACAGTAGCCTGAACTTTTCAACTGTCTTCCCTTCAAGGCCTTACGGTAGTTGGAGCTGGTCCCAAGCCGGTTTTCACGGGTCTGACCACCACCACTCAAGTGTTAACACTGCAAGGACCTTTGTCTGAATGTGTATAAAGGATCTGTAAAATGTGTGTAAGACAGAGTTTTTGACTAAGGTGCAAAGCTCTCCTTTCTTCTGCAGAATAAAGCAACTCTTCCTTATCCCTGTCTGGCTGTTATTGGCTCTCAGCTAGGTGGACCCGATATTTTGGTAACATCCTCTTTAAACTGTCTCTCTCGGGTATGAGTGGTCACAGACTGTTGTCCTTCCCACTAAGGGTGTGGTTGGGTGTAATACTTGAAATACATTTCTAAATTCCTAGTTCTGAGAATATTTATTTCTACTCCAAATGCAAATATAGTCGTCCCCCTTGCTTTGAAGTCTTTCATAATTTTCCAGACAGGAAGTACATTTATCCTGTAGAATTTCATTTGCTTTATATAATTATTAATTACCTAGAACATAATATGTGTATTTTCTCTTCCCCCCATTCTGTTTTTCTGTGTTTGGCCTTGCTGTTTGCTAAATATTTAATGATGCATTATTTATCCCTTCCTGCAGTTAGATTTTATTGAAGCATTAATTACATGGTGGGAAAAAAAGAAAAAAGAAGCAAGACACCATTTGTATGCTTGCAGTTATTTTAACAGAGGGCCATCTAGCGAGTGAAATTAAAGTTGGTTTCCCTGTTTGAGTGTAGCCCCCCGCCCCCCATAAGGGTAAAAATCAGATTTCCCCAAATCTTGCTGCAATCTGCAAAATATTGTTCCTAAAAGTGAACTTGTGGCTGGCAGTGTCTGAATCGAAGAGAGGGGGTGGATAGGTTGCCGGAGGGTGCTGGTGAGGTAATTCTTTGGGTGCTGGGATCATTCCAGATTAATACTGGTTATCAAGAACAGGGGCTCAGCCCACCTCTCAGTGCAAACTAACGCAGACATCATGCTGGGCACAGTACTATGGTTTATTAATGTAATTAATTAATTTATTCACTGCCTGTATGTGTGTATGTAGCCAAGTGTACTGAATTTTGTCACAGATAAATTAGATAAATAAAGGATGTCTGTGAGGATTAGATAGATAGATAGATTAGATAAAGGGAGTTATGGGGATAGATAGCTAAGGGGGGTGTATGGGGATGGATGGTTAGATAGCTAAGGGGGTGTATGGGGATGGATAGATTCTATAAAGATTTTCTCTTTCAAATATGAATCTTAAAAATGTTAAATGTCTCCCACACAGTTTAAATGGCACAAAGTGCAAATGACAAGGACAAGCACGTGTCTAGTGTGCTGAGGGGCTGACTGTATACAGAAACTAGCCCAGCAGAAACATCCTGCTATGAGTAACTGTGCACTGCCTAAGGATGTTCAAGGCCCCTCTCAATGTGTTCTTGGGAAAGGCGAGTTTATGTCAGAGACATGCAAACAATTCCCAGGGAATACTGGATTTGCTCTGCTTGCACAACATTTTCAGATTGTGAAATTTCCTGAGTACTTGGTTCTCTGATATTGTTCAAAAAGTTTTGCCACGGATGTCAATGGGAGTTTTGCCATTGACTTCAATGGAGACAGGATATCACCCCAGCAGTTTTCGGTTAATTTTTTTTATTTTTTTTTATTTTTTGGCTGAAACAAAACAATTTTTCCAGTCTTCAAAAACCAAAACAGTTCTGTTTTTCTGTTTTTTGGTGTTGTTTCCCCTTTGTCTTTCCTTTAACCCTCCCTTTTTTCCACTAAGAAAGAAAGAAAAAGAAAAAGCCCCCCAAACTGAAAAAATAAAAATGTTCAGGTTTTTGACAAAAACCTGAAAAATTTTGGCTGAACCAAAAACCTTCATTTTGGTTGAAAACTGATTTTAAAAAACCCCAAACATTTAGACATGTTTTCTTGCTAGTCCAAATAACTTTTATTCCCAGCTCTTAGGGGGAAGTGATCACACGATGCCCACAGTAACCCACCTCCACAGGCCATGAATGCTGATGGCTTTGGGTGGGAGCACTAGGAAGAAAGTCATTGTAGCCAAGTACATGGATCCTGAAACCCAGCACGTTTTGTAGCCAAGAGGGAGGAGGTGTAAAATGGCTGGCTGTTGCCTCCCACCTTTCTGCCCTCCTGGGTGGAAGTAAAGGAGGTCTAGTGGTAATACAAAGGTCTGGGCATCAGGAGGTTTGTGGTTCTTGTGATGCAATGAGAAATGAACAGACAGGAGTCAGAAACAACTGAGTTCTATCCCTAGTTCCCTAGTCGCTAAGTGGGGTGTGGGGAATTCACTTTGCCTCCCTGCACCTCAGTTTCCCCACATGTAAAACGGGAATAATGATTCCTAGCTTCCACTAGATTCCACAAAGATTAATGAATGAATGCTCATACAGCGCTTTGAACATGTACCGTGCAATGAAAAGGCCATGGATTAATCCCACCCGAACTTCATTTCTAAACCATAGGAATGTCACTTGTGTCTCAGTCAAACAATGTAGCAAGGTAAAAGGCACAAACCTAACTGGAAGCCAGAACTGGATGCAGCCGGCCATTGGGGAGGAGAAGGTTTCCAAATGGAACTATCGAGCTCTGATTGATCCATTCAGATCCGATCTTCCACTAGTGTGAAGCAGCATCACTCCACTGAGCAATGTGGATTTCCACCAGCCAAGGATATGGCCCATTCATCTTCAAGGGACTGGAGCCGGGCAATTAGGTGAATAGGGCTTTTATTTGGAGTCAGTCAATTGCCCTTTGGGGAGATCCAGGTACTGTGACACACGAACCCTCAGGTGACACTAGTGCACCATGAGGCCTCCGGAGCAGCATCACCCAAACCTGGGGAGCTGCAATACTGGCACTTACTTAGTACCCAGTCCAAACCCCACTGTAGTCAGTGGGAGTAGTTCTGTTGATGATAATGAGAGCTGGAGCAGAGCCAGTGGCTCAGCCTCTCCAGCGCCAAGCATCACAACACTGCAGGGAAGATGGCTGTTCCCCGGCACTGAAAGCAAACGGGGTAGGTCATGGGGTTCAAATACCACAAGGGGGCTCCCACGCCGTGGTAATGAACTTGCTAAGAGTCTCTCACACAGGAGTCTCTTGCAGAGCCTGGACTTGCTGCATCATTCTGTGCATGTGCGTGAGGAGTTACCACAGAACGCTGTGCCGCATGGATCTGCAGCAAAAGGCAACTAGACACGCGCCCTGAGCTGCTTGGGCTCCATGTGCTGAATATTAAAGAACCCCCAATGGTCCTGGGGCTGCTGCCAAAGCGACAGGGCTTTATCCCTGCTGTGAGGTACTGCCGGGAGCTGTGCGTGCCTCTACGGAAGTATTTTGGAATCAACAGGGGAGTGCGTATAGGAAAGACTGCACAGCAATCTGTGTCTGAGGGTGTGTGCATCTCTGGAGGCGTGTACACGTGTGGCTCTGTACAGGGTGAGTGCAGACAATGGGCGGCGCAGAATGGCCGAGTGCAGCCGTTCTCAAACTTTAGCAACCCGAGCACCCCCATTTTGATTTAAAAATTTTCAAGGACCCTGAAGCCAGCTTCTAATTTTCCCTGGGGGGCTGCTCAACCCCTGCTCAGCCTCAGGCCCTGCCCCCCCCACCTCTTCCTGCCCCCGCTCCAACTCTGCCCCTCCACTTCCCCGCCTCTTTCTGCCCCCTCCCCTGAGCGTGCCCTGCCCCTGCTCCGCCCCCTCCTTCCCAGCACCTCCTGCATGCTGCTGAACAGCTGTACTGCGGTGTGCAGTTGGCACTGGGAGGGAGGGGGAGGAGTTGATCAGCAGAGCCGGCAGCCCCAGAGATGACTCGCAGACTCCCTGGAGCCGGACATGACTCACACACCTCCTGGAGTACTCTTGTGGACCCCCAGGGGTTCAGACCGTGGTCTCCAGTTTGAGAACCGCTGGCCTAGTGGATAGGGCACTGAACTCAGGAGACCTGAGTGTTATTCTTGGCTCTGCTGCTGCTTTGCTGGGTGACCCTGGGCAAGTCAATGCCCACTCTGTGCCTCAGTCTCCCCATCTGTAAAATGGGGATAAGGATACTGCCCTCATTTGTAAAGTGCTTTGAGAGCTACTAAGGAAAAGCACTATTAGAAGAGCTAGGTGTGATAATTATTGTTGTTCATTCTTCTCTCCTTGGGAGCACAGGACCCATATTTGAGGCTCCATTCCCCATCCCCTGGAGGAATTGACAGCCAGAGATGCTGGAAGGATGGGGTCGGCCAAGAATGAGCAGTTCTGACAATGCAAAATGGGTCTTTTCCATCCATCTGGCTGCTGTTAGAGAAACACAGTTATCGATCAAATCCCCCCTGGGAAACATTACTGTCCGCGAGCAACACAATGGAGCTGGGCCTGCGCTGGCACTTGCTTAAGAAGAGCACCAAGCTCCCCGTCCTCAGAGCTGTCTCGGCACTGCAGTTCCTGTCTAGGATCGCCATGCAGCTTTGTCCCTTTCCAAGGATCTCGGATGAAGTGCTTGTTGCAGGGGCAGAGGCAGCAAAATCACAGGAAACAGGTGCAATTCTCTAACAGATAGAAATGAATGGCCACCACACTTTGCAACCATTACAAACATTGCCTGCTTGATCAGTGAAGAAGCCAATACAGAGAGAGCATAGAATTGCAATTCCTCTGTTCTTGAT